AATAACCTAATTTATTTGTTATTAAGGACGATGTGACTCAATGGTAACTACAAAGTTGTATCGAGAAAGAATAAATTAATTTTAATTAAGAAAGGACTTGTATCGCTGAAGTTCCTCGGAAAGAATTTATACCGGAAATTAACAAACGACCAGATACGTAACAATCTAAACTATAATGAAAAATAATAATAATTGTAAGATATATATATACACACACACACATATGTACCTGATGCCAATCAGGGAGTAAAATTTACCACAATGAAGAAAATTATTAATATTCTTGAAACATACTTAGAAACAAGACTGAATAGTTATATTAAATTTTACACATGTACAAACATAACAGTGAGAATTATTATGCATGCCATGGAAATAAACTGACATAACACAGAAAATAATAATTATTAACATTCATAGCACACTAAGTTTAGACATGAAAATTGCTATCTAGCTGACAGATGTTTTGCATACATCTATGTATATAATATTTAAAGTTATACTATTATACACAGAATAATTTTTATACATACATTTCAATTGATAAAAACTTGTAGTAAGTATTAAGTAAAACTTTCTAGGAAGATTTATTATTTACTGACATGAATACATTAAAAAATAATCATTATATAATTTTTTGTGCATCAAAGATACATTAATAAGCTATCATGTTTGATATCTTGGCAATAGATGGCTTAATAAATAAGAATTAAATTAATAAGAAAAAATAACAGAATAGTTATAAGTGCTTTTATTGTAAGCTAATTGACAGCTATTATTTATATAATCACCAAACTTTCTATAATATGATTTAAAATTCACACCAAACACAAATACCATATCATCAACAATTTAAACAGTGAAATACAACACATAAAAAAAGAGCAAGACTTACTATGGGTTTGTAAGAGTCCACCTGCTTGAGATTTTCATTTAGTGAAGAAGAATGTTCATCTAGAATCTGCTTCACATCTTCTCTAGTCCAAACACCTTCATCCTGTTAAAAGCAAATTCAATAAAAATATAACAAACAAATACTCATAATAATGTAGATATTATATTCAATAAAAAGGTTTTACTCCACTGTATAATGTGGAAAAATCATTCTAGACCACTCCTACTAACTAATACAAAATACTACAAAGTACCACAAACTGACCACAAATACTTGTGCAATAAGATCATATATTCTCAGTCATAATTGCATTGTAATTTCATTGCAGAAAACATCAAAATGGATCATTACAATGAAAATTATGCCACTTTCTAAATTCATCAAAGTATCTTTTATTAAGTTTTTGCTAATATTTTATGTTATCCAATAAGCTTATTACTATACTTATTTCCATTACATGTGTTGTGTGTGTGTCTATATATAAAAACATCAGTAAAGTTACCCTTTATTAAACTCATTTCACTATAAAGTACTTTACTGCAAGTCAATAAAGTATAATTATTCAAATTACCTATATATTTTTGGTGTCTTATTTATTTAGCTTGTTGTTTAGTGTGTGTGGTACTTTATGATTACTTTGTGGTAATTAGTAGGACCATTACAGGCTTCTAACTAGCAAGCAGGGCAGTTCAGTCATATAATAAAATAGCAGTACACTTGGAAGACAGCAAAAAACTGAGCTTATCTTCTCTTAATCCTATCGCCACTGGTATCCTTCACGGTGCATGATACAAAGTTTTAGCATCTTACATTCAAAATTTTATTAAACTACTTTTTGTTTATGTCATGCCAATTAGAATAGTGTCAAATCTTAGCTAATAGTATACAAGTTTTAAGTTCTTAATTCTACAAGGCAATAGTTTAAAAAATCCTGAATTTTCACTAGTGTGACCCAAGTGACACAATTTTCTCTTAGCATGTCATCATCCCTAATTTATCCACCACCCCATGAAAAACTAAAAAATTAAATGTAAATTACTCTCTATAAAATCGTTATTGCTCAGACAAACCACAATTTTTAGTCTTCAATTCTGTGGGAGATGGAAAACCTACAGTTTGGGTGGATTTTAGTGTGAAGATGTGAAGTTAATGTCTAATCCCAAGAACCCTTGGATATAGACAGAATCTATTCTGGATACCAATGTACCAAAGGCTGATGTTGGGACCCATGAACTATGACCCTCTGTAGGAGCCAATGAAAATCGACAACAGGAATGAATGTAGAAGCCAACAACTGAACCAATGTGCATGCTAACAATGGTTCCAGATCATCATCAATGAGGTTGGTGATCCTGAGAGTCTTCCAACAAAGTGAAGTGAAAGGAAGACAAAATATTGGATTTTAGAGTTGTAAGTCCATAGAATTACCCTGTCCCATCAGAAGATATTGATCTATTCAAGTTATCTACAAACTCTGCCTTAAAACCCAAAATCGAGAAGCAGATGTATTATTTGAGAGTCAGAAAATGCTTCCACCTGGCAGTGGTAGGCTAAATCACAAAGTTCTGACAATCATGTTGGATAAGGAATAACTGTCCCTTCATGTAACTGAGAAGTAAATCTCCCAGCATGAACCACAATGTTCGTGGATGGAGAGAAAATTTAAAATTCACTCTCAGACCTTTTGGCCATCAAGTAAGATGCAGGCTCAAAAGCAACTGGGGAAAGACCCAGAACATTCTCAATGAATCAACAAAAGAAAACAAATCAAAGGCAGTTTATCCCAAGGTGGCCTCCTTTTTTTGTTTTTATATCTCATTTAAAGACTGTGTTGATTACTGATGATTAGAACCACATTTGGTCAGGTAAGTTTGTTTTGTTGAAGCAAAGCAACATTGGACTGTTGTGTCCACTATAGGGAATCGAACCCCGGATTCCAGCATCACAAATCTGTAAACTCACCACTGTCCCACAGTGGGACTGAAAAGCCAACAGACTAAAAGAAGGCACAGGAAAAAGCAAATCTAAATTCTCTCCAGAATATTGAGGATCACCCTCAACTGCAGCCCCAGAGCCCTCAGTGGAACACCACAGAATCAAATGTATGTCTCCATCTCACTACGAATAACATCACTAACAGTCTCAACTGAGAGTGACTCTCCCCTCCCCATTTAACATGCGATGCTAGATATCAAAGGTGGGATAGGAGAGACTTGATTGGCATCCATGACAGAAATAATTTTATCATCTTATATATTTTTTTATGAAAGTCAACTAGGTAACATGGAGAACGATCATAGTACTGGGAAACTCATTAGCGACACTTTGTCGAGAAAAAGTGAACATTATCTGAAGGAGGTGCTTATATACAGTACCAGGATAGAGGGTGCATTGATGTAGGTGGAGTGTCTCACGAGACAAATATTACCAAGGGCAATTAAGTGTAGTATAAAATACTGGAGCAAACGAGAAAAAATCAGACCAATGCTTAGATGGGCAAAGGAAGAAACCTTGGCAGTCAATTAATAGCTGTAAGTGTGAGAGGGGATGTAAGTATGTTTTGGAAAGACGGACACTAATAACTGTAAAGATACTCAGATTATCCAATACACTGCATGTAAAGTATATGTACACGTAAAAATATACACTAATAGCTTTAGATACTCAGACTACCTAATACCTTGCATGTAAAGCATACATATGTAAAGATGTACACTACTAACTGTAAGGATACTCAGATTATCTAATGGAGTACAAAATGAAGAGTAAAATATCTTACCACCAATCTTTGAGCATATCCATCTGGAACACTATGTCGAGAATGAATCACCTGATACATGGCAGGGTTAGTGAAGGTTGGGTCATCTAATTCATTATGACCCCAACGTCGAAAGCATACCAAATCAATTATAATATCTTTACAGAATTCCTGTCTGTAAGCTAGTGCTAGTTGTGTAGCTTTAACTATTTCCTGAGAGATGAAAAATATTAACAGAAATTTTAAATCAGAATGCAATTACCACAACAAAACACACACAAAAACTATGAACACATGTCACTATGTTTACATAATCTTATTTATGTATTATGTATCTACTGAAATTTTTATAGCAATAATTTCTTATTCCCCCATCAATGAGAATAGGTAGAATCTTCTAAGCTAGTAAGAAGGTCAAACATAACCACATAATAAACATAAAATGGAAATTTTTCAAAATGTATTCAAATTTCATATAAAATAAAAACAACTCTGAACTAATAGAAAAAATCAACAAAACTACTCAAGTAAATCCACCACAAATAGTACATAAATGTCTAAAGAATATGTTCAGAAATATTAATTTATTTACATTATAAAATGTGGTAAAATAAAACATGTAATGATTTTTGTGCTTGCATTCCTAACTTAGTTTCTGCCACTTATTGATATATAATTGCAAAAACTGATTTTGAGTAAAAAATACTTCAAATACTTTAACTGTTCATACAAAGACTCCAACATTTGTAAAATATGTTTCCTATTTAAATCATTTTATTTATGTATTTTTTTATTGCGGTTGTGAAAACTTGAGCATAAGAATTTGAAAGAATATACTTGATTTCAGATATTTAAATAACCATAAAATTTTCCAGATCGTTATGCATACAAATAGTTTAGAATTTATTATAATATTTTCTATTAACTTATAAAACAAATTCCTTTTAGTAAAGTTCAATTTATTATTCAATTGCGAGATTGTTTCTCTACAATCTAAATTTGCAAGACACTGATCTGGCCACATACCAAAATCTGGAACTTAACAATTAGTAAACAAATGAGCACACAAATGATTTATCATTATAACAAAATAATTCCTTTAATTAAACCACCATAATGTGCCTTAGAGATAAAACCTTTTTTATTTGTGCAAGGCTACACAAGGACTGTTTGTGTTAGGTGTCCCTAATTTTGAACTGATAGATTAGATGGAAGGCAGTTATTCAACAGCACCCACTGCCAACTCTTAGTCTACTGTAATCGATTAGCGAGATTTAGCCATCACTCTTTATGTTGTACCCACGGCCCTAACTAGTAGAGTACAATTTTGTGGCAATGGAATGTGAACCATGGACCTTCAGGTCCATAGTCCAACACACTAACCACTAGGGCATTAAAACTGATTGGACACATAAGAAAACAATGTTAATCAGAATTTAGAATTTTGGGACAATTATTAAAAAAACATGATTTTCAACAAATAAAATTTGTAATCAATTTTCAAAACTGTCTTTATAAATCTTAATCTGGCCTTTTATCAAAATCTGAAACTTTAGCAATTAGTAATCAAATGAGTATACAAATGATCAAACAGTATAAGAAAGTTAGTATTTTTCAATACCAAAAATGTATTTTTGATAATACTTACCTCTCCTCACACTTTAGCTTTATCCAGACAAAAGTTTCTCTTCTCTGCCCATCTAAGCATTGGTATGAATCTTACTTCACTTGCTACAGCATTTATACCCACTATATTGCCTAAAGAAAGTTAAATCTTGTGATTCTCTCCACCTACATCAATGTGCCCCCTATCCCAGATCTGTATATAAGCTCCCCGTTATTCAATTATCAAGATGGTCCAATTAGCAGACTCGAAACTGGCCATTACATGGAGAGGAAGGACAGGAGAATGTGTGAGAAAAGGTAAGTATTATCGGAAATACATTTTCGGTATAGACAAATGTTAACTTTTGAAATACACCTCCGCTCACACTTTAGCTTGGATCCAACAAGGTGGAAGAGTCGGTGAGAGTGAGGTCCACACAGATAGCATCTGTGTAGAAAAGATAAGTATGAAAATGTGTTATAGTAATAACATATTAGTGAGGTCCACACTACTTCTGGAACAGGTATGCTCTTTGCCCGGCCAACATGAAAACAAATTCCTGGTTGTTTAAGGCCGACCAGCCACAGTGGCAAAATCCTAACATCTTTAGAAGAACATGAATTCATCCAGGCCTCAACCAGGCAGACAAGATCCCACATCTTGTCATTAGAATTTTGGGGCTGTGGACCAAAATCTAGATCCAAAGTGTAGTGCCTAAAACATGAAGACCACTTTGTATTTAGTCTTGTTTAGCAATGTGGTATTATTGGAACCCAACCTGAAAGTTACAGAGTGTTGCATGTCAAACCACTGGAATTATGAAGAGAAGGCAAGCAGCACAAAGATGGACAAACCCTCATCCCTACCTGAAGAAATGTAAAGTGCAACTAACCGACCTCAGGATTATGGGACTTGTCACGCTACACTCAACCTGAAGAAACAGAGGCTATCCTGTTAGGGATTACAAACCAAAATCCTAACTTCTTAACCTGAGAAGCAAGTCAACACCTCCTGCCCACAGAATTATGAGGAGGATGTAGGATAAACTAAGTCCAACCAATGGCACAGGAACTTACACTCCACATGCAGAATTATGAGGAGTCGAGAACCAACCATTTACCATGATCACCGAAATGAAGAGTATGACTAAAAATAAGAGCCACACTCAACTCAACAGGATGGTAAAGAGACATTTCTGAACTGGAATTACAAAGAGGTTCCCACATAGGCTGGTTTTGCTCTTACCATGCATCTAGGAAAAAAAACTTCAATGGTTATTGGTAAGAGGGCACCCAGCTTCACCTTCTTCTCATTGAGTGGAATAATGAATTCAAGCATCACTCAGGAGGAATAAACCTCTGTTTACCACTCCAGCAACTGGAATCTTGGAGTGGTAAGGAATCCCATACTGCACTAGAAGAAATGTGGGGACACTTGCATTGGGGAGTCCTGAGGAACGATGCTCCAGAGACAGTACAATAGGTGAATCATGTTCCCTATTTTGAAAAGAAAACCAAACCTGAATTATTCAGTCTTGGAGTCAGCAGAGATGGGCAAAATCCCCTTAGGCTTTACTAATGATAGTCCTGGAGTGGCAGTCCAGTAGTGTATTTGTTTTTGTGTTATAAATGTTTACCACCTGGAAAATAAACAAGGTGGTCTTATGGAACACCCCATCTCAACAGAGCTCGTTGCTACCAGGAAATTTTTATTTGTCAAATAGTAGCTAGTGCAGTTTTGGAAGGAAGCATAATTGACCAGGAAACACCCACCACTGAGTGGGATCCATATGAAAATGATGAAAGGGTCCCTAAAAAGAAGAAAAATAAACACAAAATATTGCTGAAATTACTTCAAAAAACTATTTCTTTGAAATTTCATTTTCATTATTATGTAAAATAGACAAGAAACTCCAAACCCAAGAAGCCAAGTCTAAAAAAAAAAGAAATGTCTAATGCATAGGTATAACTAAAGCCATTCAACACTGAAGAGAAAGCTGCAACAAGCATGTAAAACTGTCATCATAACATTTTGCTGTCGAGAATAGTAAATAGGAAGTAATAATAGGGAGCATATATATGGATCTGGAATAGGAGGTGCATTGACATAGGTGGAGAGAATCACAAGATTCATCTTGCTTTGGGCAACATAATTGGGTATAAAGGCTGGAGCAAGCGAGGTAAGATTCATACCGAACGTCAAAGAAGAGAAACTTTCGTTGAGATAAAGCTAAAGTGGGAGAAGAGGTAAGTGTGTTTCAGAAATTATTCCTATAATTAAAGTACCATAATGCATCTTAGAGAGAATACACACTGAAAAGATAACTTTTTAATAAAAAATTGTTATAAATACACATAATACAAAAATCTAGTCTGACCTCTGGATGGTCTCCGTTCACATGAATCACTGGTGCTGCAATTATTTTCACTACATCACTACAATGTAAAGAAGACCTATGCAAAATCAGTAAACCATATTTACTGTTATGGAATGCCCAATAAACCGTAACTGCAAATTTATGAATAACTGATCTCCATATTCATATAGAACCAACCGATTAAAAAAAATCAACCCAAGTTTATCTTCACAACCTTTTGCAAATTAAAAAAGTAACTTCAGACGTGCTTTGTGCACTTAAAATTTTTCAAAATCAGGTTGGAAGTAAGAACATTATTTCACAAGTCACTTTTCCCTTTCCAGTAGCTAAATTCTTTCTCATAGTAAAGTTAAACAAAGAATTTAAAAATCCATCCTATATTAAACAACAATGCACCTTCTTTTTATTAACTCTAAAAATATTACACGAGTTCTTTCCTATATACCTTCAGCTACAGAAATTACGTGATGCACTAGCTTATTGGCTATTACAAGATGAACATTAGCTTTAAACAGATAAATTCAAAATTTGCCACACACACACCAACACATTAAATCAGTATCCACTAAAATCAGTGTAACGAAAAACTCAATTTAAACTTGTACAAATTCAAAGCTACCATAAGAACTGTTCTGAATGATTATGTAGCTTTAATTTCTCTTTTAGTTAATCTTATATTTCACATTTTCAACAACAATGAAGATGTAATTTATTCAAAAATTTCCTTTACAACTTCTGTGGAATGTTGCACGTTCCAGTAGTAAGTCAACTTTTCTTTCAATTGATGAATCAAGTACTTTACTATGTAAGATCTTTCTATTTTGCTTTCCTACAATTTCTTTAAATTAACAGAAGTCTATGGCAGGAAGTTACCCACCTTAATATGTTTATGTAAGATACATAAAGTACTTCATTATCAAAGTCATGTATACAGAATGGTTAATTTTTTGTAAATAAGAGCTTTCATGGGAAAAGCCAATATCTTTATAAAGATGTAAAACTTACATATCATTTTTGGTGAAAAACTAAATTATTTCTATTTAAGAACATCCTCGACTGAGAGTGTGTTCACAATTAGTATTTGGATCATCACAAAAGCATCCTCAAGTATGTACAGAAAAGAAAAAGGAAGGGCTTAAAAAATCCACAGAAATAACTTACCGTCCTCTATCAGATGGTGTTGTGAAACCAAGTTGATTATTAACAATCAGGTGTATAGATCCGCACACGTGGAAATGTGGCACATTTGCTAGGGCAAGAGTTTCCATAATAATACCCTAAACAGTTAAGAAAGATAACAAACCTGAAATCTGGGCAATTCTGTAGTTCTTTTGAAACTGTGTTGTACATTACTTTAAAACAACACAGTTTTAGATACACTTACAACAGTACAAAATAGGTAAATATTCATGAGATAAAATGAAATTATTATAACCTTATATACTAATGCACTACAAGAAAAAAAAAACTGTTAAAATAAGAGAACCTGGAAGAAGATCTAAGCTACCTGAAAATATTTTAGAAGGCATACATAATTGATATAAATTGCAGTAATATAAAATGCTTAAGCTAGTGAGGCTATGAGGTATTTTAGGCCTAAAAAGTGATTAAAATCATGTTAGACTGCAGATGCTTTCTTCTCACAGTTCCCTTTATTAATCCGTTACTGATGTGCATTAAAATAGCATTTCAGATTTTTTCTGAAATGTACTGCAAATAGAGAAACTCTGCTTGACTAGGACAAACTATGTCAGAAAACCTACACTAGTAGCACATGTGAAGAAGACTTACCTGACCACAAGATGATATATAAGAAAATATATCTAGAATTGGAATTTTCAACCTGAATGGCACCTTATGTATATGTGGGCTAAACATCTATATTAGAGCTTTCTAGGTTCAGTTAAAACTGTCAATAATTTTTAACTACTGACTAGAACAAAAGCAGATAGGCAAGAGTACATATTGCCATAAGGACTTTTGAACCAAACAATGGTATTAATATAACTTTTATAATGCTCTCATAACTAAAAGTATGGAGCATGCTCAGTGACATCACATGTCATAGCCTTCAATTCACAGCCTCACATGCTAATCATAAATCCCCACTCAGCCCAAATAAAACTAACCAATTTAAACAACCTACATACTTGTTAATGTGTCTGAAAACATAAATGGCTAAAACATCTTAAATGATAATGCTATACCTGACCAGAAAATGAAGCATCACCATGAACTTGAACTGGTAAGACACTAGAGCCAGGATGAGCCTCTGTTCCAGGTGAGTAGTCTCCAACTTTAAGAGATTGCTGCTTACCTCGAGCTTTTCCAACTGTTACTGGACTTACAGCCTGTGGTGATGAAGTACTTACTTAGCTTAAAAAATAACACCATAATTCACCATCACAGTAACATAAAAAAAAAATTAATGAGTTTAAAATGTTCAAAAAATGTGAGGCACAAGAGGTAGCTTTATCCATATGTGAAACCAACATGTTTGAGTAACCTGATTATGTTGTTAGCTACATTTTCAATTTGTGAAGTATCTATAAACCAGGTTACATAATAAATGAGAATCTTTTCAGTTGTTAGAGTGCCAATCATTCAGTGAAGCATATAGATCAGTCTTAGTTGTTGTGTATATAT